GGCGGGCTGCAACTTGGTTGCAAACAATCCTGGAGGGTGAGTTTTCTGAGTGTGTGGGAGCATCCACAAAGCTCGACTGGAAACATAAGATCAAACTGTTTCATTATGTTTCTGTTGTTTTCTTTTTCCAGCTGGGCTGTTTACACTAATATCTCCTTTTTAGCATTGCAACATGTGCGCTTCCCTCATTGTTTTCCTCTTATACCTCTCTGAATCAGCAGTGATTTGTACAAAGATGAAAGGGAAAACAACTTGGCAAGTACTCAAAGGCTCTTAAGGTTGAAGAAGGTATGGAAGCGGATGCTCAAATGTGACTAATCCTGCTTTTTGTCCTTTGTCAGCAAGGGATGTTTTCAGCCTGATGCTGAATCTGAGTCTGAAGCACAGGAAATAAACACAGTGTAGGCATGATGCCATACCAGCCAGGGAAGTTTTTGGCTTAAATGCATCCTTTAAGGATTCCCAGGTTTAGACTATAGTTGGTTCCAATTGCTGTTGGAAATTTCACGACATGTTCTCAGCTTCTGGATCAAGAGCTCATGTTACTGCACATAAAACAACCATGTGGACAGCCAGGTGTTCTCAGACCCACTGGAAACAGTAGTTTATACAGAAGACTATGGGAATAGTATCTGAGCTTTAAGGGAGGATCAGCCAGTTAGTTGTGTTGAAAAGCTTCCCACCTGCTCCCTGCCATTCTTCAGAGGAGAGTAAAACATGCCAAATATCTCGAGGGCGATGAATGAATGCCTGCACAGGACACTGGCTGGTCCAGCCACCTAGTGCCGTTATCCTGACATGGCATGTGCACATCTTCTGGGCACAGGTGTTCACTGCAGGAAACAAGGACTCTCTCCTGCACTTGTGTGTGTTTATAGGCTCAAATCACAGATCATGGGGTTCTGCAGACAAGGACCTGGGAGTCCGGCTGATGGCCAGCCAGCAGTGCACCCTCATGACAAAGGCAGCCGTCAGCATCCTGGGCTGCATTAGCAGGAGAGCTGCCAGCAGGCTGAGGGAAGTAATCCCTCCCTGCTGCTCAGCTGGCAAAGCTGCATCTGGAGAGATGTGTCCAGGGCTGGGCTTTCCAGCAGACAAGAGGCAGGGACATGCTGGAGAGAGTCCATCAAAGGGTCACAGGGATGACTAAGGGGACAGAGCATTTTCACATGAGAAAAGGCAGTGAGAGAGCTTTGACTCATCAGCCAGGAGAAGAGGAAGCTTGTGATCTTATAAATGTGTAGAAATATCTGATGGGAGGCTCAAGAAAACAGAGCCAAACTATTCTCAGTAGTGCCTAGTGGCAGGACAAGAGGCAGTGGGCACAACTGCAACACAGAAAATTCCATCCAATTCCATAAGAAAACACTTTTTTACTACATGGGTGATTGAGCACTGGCACAGATGATCCAGAGAGGTTTTGGAGTCACCGTTCTTGGAGGTATTCAAAGCCTGACTGGACACAGTCCTTTGCAACCCACTCCAACTGGCTCTGCTTGAGCAGGGGTTGAACTGGAAGATCTCAAGGGTCGGTCTCCTTCCCCCCTCAACAATTCTACAAAAGCAGAGTTGGATTGGTCTGACATGAAAGCTGGAATAAAGACAGCTTCATTCAAGTATAAATTGGATTAAAGTGAATAGGCTTAGCTCAAAATGGAGCGACTGTTCTGATTTTGTAAATATATGTAACAGTAGAGGATCTCCTCACAGTCTTCAGTCTTCTACAAGCTGCACTCTGTGTGGTGCCTGGCATAATGAGGATGTAGCACTTCAGACCCTGCTGAGCATAGAAGGGTATGTTCTTCAGTGGCTTTCTTCTTTCCTTCAAGGTCTCAAAAGATAGCTGTAGGCAATTACCGGCTTTCACAAATTGGACTTTTCTGGATTGCACCAAGTATTCCACTGTGCAGGCTTTTTTCAGTATGTATGAAGGGGCTGTTTTGCCTGAAAATGTGGCCTTTTTTTCTCTGCCATAAGGTGGTAACATCTGCTTTTCTAAACTACATTATACTTGTGGTGGAAAAAAAGCCTTTTTTTTTTTTTTTTGGTTTATGCTGTCAGGACTTGACTGACTTTTTCACAGCCTTGTACGTTAAGATCCACTATATTTAGTCTCTGTGGAAGCCAGCTAGTCTAGGCAAATGAGAGGAAGATCTGCAAATACTTTACAGACTTCAGATGTTGTCCATGAAACACTGTTCAGGAGACGAAAGTGGACCAACAGCTTCCCCTCCCACTCCTAGCTGGAGATGGATGTTGAGGGGACGCTGGAAAAGTCACTGTTCTGTGCTCTGCTAAAGCTGCAGTTTGTTTTCACCTGGTGTATCTCAGGAGAACTGATGACAATTTTGACTGAAATTTGATGGTGAACTTTTGTCAAGTGAGGCCATAACCACAGCAAAGTGACAACTTTCGTAGATGAAACCTCTGTCCTAATGAGCACAAATGATAAACACGTCAATAAACTTTCAAGATCTTGAATCCAGCAGGAAAGAAAAACCATAATTGGCTGACTAACAAGTGTGATAGGTACCCAGCCAGGAATAGCATCGAATTGACTGACTGGTACTTGGTGTGTGTAGGACACCTTCTGTTGGGGAGATGTACAATTTCCACCTTTCCAGCTGCTAAAGCCATGCTCTCCATCCCTCTCAATTTGATCTATACTTATAGAAGCAAAAGCAAACCAGAGACTGTCTGGAGCAAGGGTTGCTAATTAAAGAGCCTGGTGCATTGGCATCTATTTATAACTGGATCTGGGGTGTAGCATAAAGTCACATGGGATAATGTAGGTGTGGTATGACAGTAGAGGCCACAAAAAAAGTCAGAGGATGTGGTGTAGAGGAGTAGAGACATGGGATGATAATGAAAGGGGCAAAGAATAATACCGGAAACTTAAGGTTATTGATGGCTCAGCCATGCTCAGTTAAAGAACTGTAGAGCTGGACAAAACCAGTTTTAGTGGTAACAAAGAGAAAGGGAAGAGCTGTTCAATTTATGGAGAGAGTTTCTTACCTATAGCAAATGTGAATGCAATAGCAACTTGCACATCAGTGAAAACACATTTAAGTGTACAATTATCCTAGAAAATGTATTAAATTACTCAAATGTGGGCCCTGGAAGGAGGAGGTAAAAACCATTGATGGCATACTCTTCAGAAAAGGAGAGGAAGAAACCCCATCATGGATATGATGCTCCTTCTGGCAAAGGACTGGGGATGTTAACAAATTATTTCAAACTTGGGGATGTTAACAAGATATTTAAAACCCTGTGCTTCTCCCCAAGCTGATCTTTGAGGCTAACTTACTGTCCCACTTGATAGCCAGAGAGCATAATATCAAAGAACACTTTTGTATAACAATCTTTAACTGTATTACTGAGATGTTCATGGTATTGTTTAGATAACTGGGACTCCAAAGGTTGATATCATTGTAACTGCACTGTAATAACAGCTTAGTGTATTTTAGTTAGGCTGTTGAGATTTTAATTAGTCTAACGTAGAATTCTTGGCTTCCCAAATGAGTTGTTTCCCCTTTTGCCCATAACAAGGCTTTGAGAGCAATAACTTGTCACGTGGGTACTATGAGGATGGAAGAATGATGAGTGTGTTCACAGAGAACAAAGGGCTGTACTGATGCAGCAAAAGAAATCACGGAGAGAAGTAGACAAAGCCAGAATGATCTTCAGCCCTATGACTAATGATAGAATACTTGTGCTGTATTACTTATGTTATTTTAGCAATCTCCTGAGCAACCCAGTGGGAGGTGTTCCTGGTGATGTATGAAAGAAGCCAAAAAAAATAACAGCTGTCTGAAAGAATTTTTCTGCCTTAGGTAAAGAAGGGATATGGTGAGGGGGAAAAAAATGTTCAGTTGAGATAGCTTGCATAATTCATGCCAATTTCTGCTCTTAGTTTAGTTCACAGTTGATTGGCTTCATCCCATTTGCAGGGAGGGGAAGCACTAGATGTTCCTAGTATAGTCTAAGGTTTTTTTTCCAGATGGGTAATTTCAGCCGTGTGATAGAACTGGGAGATTGACATGAAGTTGGCATCAACTACAACCAGCCACAAATTTCCTCAACGCCAACTGACTGATTAGGTACAACACTGCAATAAGGCAGCAAGTAAGAAGATGTGAAGGACACAGCACTGTCCGTGCTGATTCTGACCTCCTTGAGAAGAACTCCACTCCAGAGCATGCATCTTTCACATAACAGCACTATTGTAAATAGCTTCCAGTAGCTGTGATATTTTCAGATGATTTAGGTCCTGCACATCTGTCTTTACCTGGTGCTGGCACCTGAAATTACTGAGTAAACAATTTTGTTAAGTAATTTAGAGCTACATATTGTGACTATTCCTAAGGAGCAATCAAAACCTGATGTGTTTATTTGGATTTAATACCATGTCTTAGGCTTCTCAGAGAAGCTACTTCAATGCTTTAATGCTCTACCAGCTTTCACTGAGACACTTGGTGGAAACTGAGGGTTGTTACTCAAGGCTGCGGAGAGTGAAATGTTCCTTGTTTACCTTGCAAATATTTGGAAACTAATTATTCCTTATATTCTCAATATCTCATTTTGAATTCGGGGAGTATTTTATCCATAGGATAGAAACCTAAAGAAAACAAACCCCAAAACCCCATAACACTCCTCCCTCCCCTTCCTCCCAAACCCCCAAAAAACCAAAAATACCAAACCAAAACAAAACACACACAAAAAAACCCACAAACAAACAAACAAAGCCAACAAACCCCAAACAGGGCAAATATAAACAGCTGAAGACTATGGACAATGTATTTGAGGTAAGTGGAAAGGGTAAATTTGGTGCTGACCTGGGAGGCTCATGCTCAGGGTGTCAGTGGTTGAGCAGAACACTGGGCAAGGCATGAGGTGCCCGAGCGCTGCCCTTGGACATGCAGCACGTACAGCTGGGACTGAGCCCAGGGCAGCCCTCCGTGGCTTGGCTTCAGAACGTGTGGCAGGCTGAGCCCGAGGCAGGAGGTGCTCCTGGTGTGCTGAATCTCCAAAAGAGAGCAACTCTGGATCAAATGTACCATTTGCATAGGTGAGGCTTAGAGAATTCACAGCGATTAGTACAAAAACCTGGCAAAGACCCTTGTGCTGTGACAGAGCTCTGCATCACATAGCACCAGGGAGCCTGTTTGCTGGGGAGACCTGAGCTCCACTGTCACAATGGAGACAACACTTCAGGCTCCATTCTCGGAGCAGGAGGGCTGCTAGGTTATAAATTGTTTCTCTTTGTCTACAAAGCAGGCAGGGGGAAACTGATCTGATCTAGCAGCAGGAGTTGGTGCGTTCTTGAGCTGAACAGCAAAAATCTTGGTTCAGTGTGTGTGGAAGAAGGTCAGACAGTCCTGCTTCACTGACTGGTAACAGAAAAGAAAATGCTGATTTCTTTTTATGCTCCATGACATAGGGGTTGTATTTTTCACCTGTTTGTTTTTTTCTCCTAATGCAAAGATGGACTCCCAGGTTGAAGCTGTGAGATAAGTACATGATGCTCTTCTCCTGTGAAATGAGTTGCTGACCTCAAAGTCTGGTGTGAGGAGATCCACAGTGTGCCCTTCTCATGAGTTTTCTTTAATCTAGAAAAGAACATTTGCCTTCCAGTGATGCATCTGTTTTGCTTTCCAAAGTTTACAGCAACAGTGATCGAGTGTATTATTTGGTGCTACAGTAATGCAGTTTAAGAGAAAAGGAAGCTTATTAATGATTATTAATCTCTTGACATCCATAGGTGCAGGTGGGTGGTAATTTGTTCTCCTCCATTGCATGAATTATTCACAGTTTTTTTTAGAATTTGTAGGTAGGCCTTAAATGATTTTTCTGTACCCAGATGAGATGAAAGATGGAAACAAACATAAAAAACAAGAAATAAAAAAACATGCCTCTGCTCCAAAGTGAAAAGTCAATATATATTCTCATAATGATTCCAGGGGTTATATGCTAGAGTTTTGGGTCATGATAATCTACCTAGTGAATTTGAGCAAAGGGAAGGAGTGGAGAAACACTTATGAAAAATATGAAGGAAAATTTAACAGGAATTAATGAACTCAGTACTACTTGGAAGCTGGTCTGACATAGATATATATTCCTCCCTCAGACAGTTTCTTGGAGAGAGAGTCTATTTTAGAGGGAGGTGGTTAGGCATAAAGTATAGCATTAAGTCTTCAGCCTTGGAGGTATGATTGATTTATTTGGAAATGATGAGTGATTATGTCCTAATGATGTCTTGAAAGACATGAAGTGCATTCCACTCTGTGAGTGACCCTTGGCTTTAAATTCCAAGAGATGACAGTTACTGGGCGCGTCAGTGAAGGGACAGAGGGAAACTGGCACACTGTGCCACTGTAATCACTGTGAAACTGTGTCATCTGTTTGATTTCAGTAGCCAATTCTCCAAGAAACCTGAGAAATCTGTAACTAGGGGGTGGGTGGTTGGGAATAGATTAACAGAAATGCTTTCATTGTTCTTTATAGAAGTAGTTTTGATATTTTATTATTCTTCCTGGTCTTTTGCTGAGAAGCTGGATCTGTTTTGCTCTACCTCCATTTTTTGTGATTCATTCTTTCTGGTCTGTGGTACCTGGGTAGTTTGGTTATCCACAGTTCCATTGCTGTGCCTCCTGTTAACACTGTGTTGTGTTGTAAGAGAATCCACTTAGCTTAACAGCTCTGGGGCTGCTTCTCTTTCCCACCTCATTTTCTGAAGGTAAAGGTGCCAAGTAAGCAATATCCATGATTCTTGGAGACCTCTGGGGATGCGTTTGATCAGAAACATCCTTGAAGACATGGATTTTCCTTTCATAATAGTTGCTGAACTCAGTATAAAAAAAAATCAGATGTACATCTTTTAATTCCATCCCAATAGTGTGACAACCAGTGGCAAAAAATTTGGGAAGTCTTTACTGTTGGAAGTCATCTCTCTCCAACACAAAGAGAGAGCATTAATGAATCATCCTGCTGTAATACTGAGAGTCCTTTTCAAGCGTGAGGCTAAGAGCTTTTAAATTTAATTTATACCACAAGATCTGATTTCCGGCTACACAGACCTGTTGTGTTCTCGCTCACACTAATTGCAGAAAAGATGTAATAGTCAGTAGTGTAACTGGAAGTATTATCTATAAAGATGTTTACTGTTAGCTCATGTCTCAATTTTGCAACATAAAATACTGTATAAAGATCTGAGCACCACACTTTCAGAAAGAGAAAGATCAGTCAGAGGGATTGATGTAATAGTAGCCTTCAAATACCTAAAAGGATATTTCCAGTATAAAGGAATTTTACTTTTTTCCTTCATGTCCTTGGTGCACAGCATATACTGCAACACAGGAGGTAAAGCTTGCAACACAGGACTTCAGTAAAGCTTGCTAATGATAAAGGCAGCAAAGCCTCAGTGAAAGTGGCATAGCTGTGGAGTCTACATTAATGAAAGTTAAAAACAAGCCAGGAAGGAGTCTGTCTAGAACAGCTATAATTAATAGGTGTAGTTATCTCTGCCTTACTGACTTCAGTCCCTTCTTATAACACAAAACGATATTTCGCTCTTATATGTAATGTATTTTTCTCTTAAAACATGGTTAGTGAATTGTGTGTATTCAATTATAGTAATTTGTCAGTAAATTACCCTTGCATGTTCTGTTATTAATAGTACTGTGCAGCTCTAATGTGTGAAGGCCGTAATGCATATTGGGAGTTTTAGCAGGCTATAAAAGCCTGTAGGAAGTCCTCATGCTAACAAGCCTGAATAATAACCAGGTAAAAAGTGCGAGATGGAGTACAGTTATTTTTGCAGAAAGCCTCGTTTTCCTTAAAAAGCTATGACCTGAAAGAAGTCTTTTGAGTCCAAGTATCAATTCGCTCTTTGAGGAACTTAAGTAGGGCTGGAGAAGGCAAGTTTTGCAGGATTTCTTTCTGTTTAGCGATCTTAGCAAATTTGAGCTCGGAAACTATCTGTTGAGAGAGATGAGAGAAAGAAGAACAATGCAACGCAGCCATATGGGCTCTGTTCTTACACATGGTTTGACTCTGCAGGGACATCATTCTCCAGCCTGTCAAAGCTCAGCGTACAGCAAAAAATTCTGATGTAATGGATATTCTTTTTATGAGCAGTCAATTTGTCTGGAGCCCAGGCCTTTAAACTTGGCTGACAGGAAAATTCTCTATTGAGAATTGACTGGCAGACAAACAGCACTGGAATTCTAAGTATTTCTTATATCTCTGAAGAACTTGGTTTTCTTTTATAATACCTTAATTATAAAAGCTATGCTTTTAAGATTGCTCTTAATTGAATACACTTGTTTGTTTTCTTCCTGGCATGTGGGTTTCCCAACTCCAGCCAACTCTGTCTAGCCAGAGGTGTTCCCTGCAGACTGAAAATCATTTAGATGGTTTATTTTATTGCGTGCCTAACTTTTGTGTACTAATGCATGTATCACCTGATTGACCTGAATCCATCCAATGCATATATCAAATGTAGTTAGCTGGATTCAGTGGTCTTTTTGGGTCCCTCCCAACCTGAGATATTCTATGATTCCACTGTTTATATAGAAAGGTCAATAACAAGGAGGACACTTAAAAACTGACCTCACAGCTACTATCCTTAAATGTTCTTTCGCTGCTTGAGATTCCAGCTCAGAAAGATGAAGATGAAAATTAAGACAACTTTTAGCAGGAACTACTTGTCTAATTTGCAAGTCCTTACAGTGCTGCTGAAACAGCACTTACAGGAGGGAAAAGAAATGCTGCCTGCACTTGAGACAAGCGCTGCAGCTCGAATCAAATGCTCATGATGTCTTCTCCTGGCACGGCTTCCTCTGTGCTGGCACAAATGTCTGATGAACAAATGCCTCTGATCCCAGGGGGGAAATTTCTATCCCATCTGGTGCAGCTCCACATCCTTAACTGTCAAACAGGGGAGTAAAGGTTGCTTAGCATGAATGACTTTGCCCATGGAGCTTCCTTGGTACTCGGTTTATTTGTCACGCTGCATCTTCAGCAGCCTCTGAAACGTGTTTTTACAGAGTGCTCTGTGGAGGAAGAAAAAGTGTGGCTTTGAACAAATGCCATAAGATGGAGAGTCATGTCTGTTTCTTGTTTTGATCCCACTGCCTGGCTAGTTTAGAGGTTGTATGCAGTTCTGATGGATACACTGCTTTAACTCCACCTTAGCGGGGGAAATAAAATAGTAGCTTTGTCTACTCATCAATACATTGCTGATAAAAGAAGTATTTGTCTTTCATGATTGGGCATGCATACTGAAGCCCTGGCTGAAAGCCTTTTGTTCTTGCTTTAAACAAGGCGAAGGGAACAGAGAATGGAAAAAATAAAGTAGGTTTGATTGCAGCAGAGTTGTTTGTTTTTATTACCTTGATTTTTTACAGAAATTGATCAAAATGGAAATGAAGGCTGTTGTTTTCTAATGGGGTTGGTAAACATGCCATAAGTTTTTTGAAGTTTCAGATTTTGTGTAGTGAATGCACACAGAAGCCTTGGAACTGGTCATTCTTGTGTGCTATATATCCTCTCCAATTCCACAATGAAAAATTGTAATAAAAGAACCACAAAGACCTGTAATTCAGTGCTGCTTCAGAGGCTTTTCCTTTAGCTCTGAACAGAGTACTAATTGCAGAGATTTGACAGCTCTTAGGTATTCGTCACATGTACTTGCCCTTACTTTAGATGTTTCATTTGGTTGCAAAATAATTCTTCTTGAATTTGTAATTGTAATAATTGCCATTAATAACCTGGCAAGGTAGTTGGCCTTTGGCATTATATCAGGGGAAAAATGATAGTAAGATAGCTCGTCTGAAGATTTAGAAAGCTAGAGAACATCAGGGGGTCGGGGGCGGATGGAGGGGTGTTGAGGGAAGAGAATACCAGAAACAAGGCATCATGACAGGCATCTTGGGGTTTGCAGCTGGGATTTATGCAACAGGCTTGTGCAATTTGGCTGTACTTCTTTGTAGAAGAAGAAGACAAGGTGTCAAATGCCAAAGAAATAATAGGGAGGATGAGGAAGACGAAGGCAGGAGAGTGTGAAATGACAGGCGGTTGGGAATATTTTGGAAGCAGAACGAAGCCATGTGCTGAGAGCTCTATCAGTGGTGGCTCATGGCACAGCAAAGCAAAAAGTATTTTTCCATGGGTAGGCTGCCCATTTCAGTAGGTAAGTCATCCACACTGAGGGGTGATGATGATCCTAAGGTTGAAGGGGTGAGCTTACCAAAGCAGTAAGTCTAACAGCAGCTGTCTCCCTTTCACTGATGGTCTGCTCCTGGTGCAGTGGCCTGCTGGAAGGCAGTGGTGACCTTGCTCTGAGGGTGCAGGAGGAGCAGGGCTGCCCCAGTGTGAGGCGGGTCCTAAGCTGGGCACAGCAGTGGGCTCCATCAGGGGCACCAAAGTGATGCCCAGGGGACCTGGCTGGGACAGCAGGGCACCAGGGGCTTGGCCAAGCCAAAAGGGTGTCCTTGGGCCTGAAGACAGAGGTGGGCTGGAGGGAGCCAGGGTAGGGAGAAAAGGCTGGTGGTCACAAAAATTAATGGCTGTCATTGCAACTCAGACCTGGCAGGATTGCCCCTCCCTTGTGTCAGGAAGAATTAAAAGGTGGTCAGTCTTTTAGTGGTAAATGTGACCGACAGCTACCAAGTACGTTGTCTTCCATTTTTCTGAGGATAGCTCTTCCTCTGCTTTTCCCCTGGTGTGGATTAACACCCAAGTGATTGCAAGAAGCCAATTCCAGGACATAGTTATGCATAAAAAAGTACAAGGAGAGGTGTATGCCAAAGACTGATGCTGCTGTGCCAGACAGCTGCTGCTGCAGTTGAGGGTGGGTGTGAGGGCAGCTGAGCCAGAGAGACTGGAGCTGTAGGCTGGGGGGTCTCTGGAGCTCTCAGGAGCTTCGTGCTCATCCTTATGTCCCTGCCAGTCTGCAGTCTTCTTGGGCATGGGTTGACTGTCACAGCCTTTGAATCAGTAGGTACTGTTTTGGGTCTGGCTTGGGACACGTGTGTTGTGGTTTTGTTTTAAACAAGGATGATTGTTCCCCATTCCTGCCCTTCTTGCTTGCCTTGTGTGATGGTTATCACAGTAGGCAGAATACAGGGAGGAGGGACATAAGAGTCTATAGGTTAAGCCTTGTCTGTAGTTAAGCCCTTCCATGCCCTCACCACTGCTGTGAGTTCTGTGGCCACCAGAGGCTGGAGAGGCTGCACCTTGTCAGCACCTGGCAGCAGGACACCCTCGCACCCCTGGCTCTGGCCTCTAAAATAATATCCAGACTGATGCAGCCAGTGGTTAATCAGGACACAGAGAGCCCTGGTCTAGCCAGCGGCCTGCCCAAAGCAAATTCCTTCATTTTGTTGGAAAGGAGAAGCATCTGTCCTCCCTTCTCAGTGGAATCAGGAAAGTACAGTATGTAATTTTTCTACTGCCTGTGAGCAGAATTTAAATTCTGCTCTATTCTTTAAAATAAGAGTTTGCATCTCATTCATAGAAGTTAAAACATTCCTTATTCACTCAATGAGGAAAAAAATTCAACTCTGCCTATCCCAAGCTGTCAAAGCATGCAAGAGCAGCACAGAGATTGTGGGTGCCATTAGAAGGCATTAATGTCTAATTGCTTCAAAATGGACCACAAGGGAAGATGAAAGTTATCTATTCTTGGTACTGCTGTTGTTTCAATTGTGGATAAGCACATCAGCCTATGGCACTCATTTTAGCTGTGAAGGAGTATGATTGATTAATAAATGTGTGTTCCTTTGTAGTCAGTTTTAGAATGTTGGAGTATTTTTGTAGCAAAATTGTACTGGAGAATCTCAGAAACCTTTTTTTCCCCCTAGTGACACTCGTGGAATAAAAATGCATTTCTTCTCCTCATTTTCAATACCTGGGGTGCTAAAGCATCTGTGTATCTTTTTTTTTCACTTGCAGCACAGTCATTTGAATATGTGACCTCCAATTTCTGTACAGAAGCTGTATCTTAAAAGGCAAGACCAGACCATGTACAGAGGGAGCAGAAACAATTCACTGGCTTTTAAATCCAAACTGATGGCCTTCATGTGGCTGATGAGTTTGTGAACAATGGAAAGTCAATGAGTTTGTTTGGTTTGAGAAAAGATGCAATACCTTAATAAAACACGGCAATGTGTCACCCTGTGATGTTCTGGAACACGGTGAGTGTTTAATATGATTTTCTTCCACCTGAACAAGCACTGTTGATTTGCTCTTGGACACTTATAATTTGCTCCTCCATAATTTCTCTTCCCTTGCTTCTACCTCCCTCTCTATATGTCAGGCATTCCTTGATGAAAAGGGGTGCTTATTGAAAAAAAAAACAACTCTGATCAGGAATCCAAACCCTTAAAAAATTAAGACTCAGTGCTGTGGAAGAAAGTTTGTAGCAGCTCAGGGCAATGGCCTGTGTAATTGCCAAGTCAATCAAGCCATGAAGCAGAGGGCAAAGGCTTTGATTTCCAGTCCTCCCATTTGCACACGCTGGGCTGTCATTGCCTTCAGCTCCTACCCTTAAAATCTCTCAAGCTGCCTTTCTGCTGGTGATTCATACTTAGAAATAAACTAGCAATAAGAGCATTAGTATTTGTTTTGAAATCACAGTCATTAAGCTTTTCTCAGAAAAAGAAACAAGGAACATTTTATCTCCTGGACATCTGAAAAGAGACAACTTGTGTGACTTTGTAGGCTTTGATAATTAATAATTAGAAGAGGTACATTTTCTTTTCTTTCCATTGTTTTTTTCCCCACTGAGACAGTCAATGTTATCAGTTGATTTCTCGAGGTTATCGGGGATGTGTTTAGATAGAGGGCGGGTTTTGAAGCAAATCTACATATAAAATGTGCTGCTAGTGTCTGATCTTTCACAGCCCAATAAACTTAGCTTACAGGATCTATCTTCACCTTTAGACTGATTCCTTTAATTTCATATGTTTCTTTTTTTTTTTCTTATAAAAGGAAAACATGGCAAGTTGGTCAGTGACCCAAAACTAGCTCAACTCAACAGAAAAAGACAGTAATTACTGCTCAACTCCTGTGATCTGTTTTAGCCCCAGCTGAGTTCTTAAAGAGTGATGTGAAGACTCTTTAACATAGTCATGTTTTTGATACCAAACTGCCTTCTGAGCAATCTCACAGAGTAGACAAAGACTTAGTGACCAGTGATGTAAACCTACTCGTCACACTGATGACAGCTTGCTGCCCCAGACTTGGGAAGGGTTAGAGTTACAAATCTGTTTGATTCACTTTCTGAAAAGAAATTAGGGAGTTTGGCAGTCAGCCTAGGACCTCACTAAACAATCTGAGAGGAAAAAAGTTACTTTATTTTGCTGCTTTCTCAAGGGATGAGGTGGAGTCAGTGCAGTTCAAATGAGCTTTGGAAGCAGTAGGTGTCTATTCTTTGGACAAGAGTCACTGCACTAAGGCAGGTAGACTGCACAGGGCTGCCTCATGGGTGTGATCTTACCCATTAAACAAATTTCCACAGAGAAAAGTTAAGGTTGGAAATTGCTCTGGAGACCATTTAGTCCCCTCCCTGCTCAGGCAGAAGGTTGTCCAGGACTGAGACTCCAAGGAGGGAGACTCCACAACTCCTCTGGGCAACATGTTCCAGTGTTTGACCACCCTCACTGTAAAGCAATTTTATTTTTTCTGTTTTGAGTGTAATCTGCTGTATTCCAGTTTGCACTCACTGCCTCCTGTTGACAAATATTGACAAATTTCTTCCAAATTCTGACACACCTGCTGATGATAATTTTCCAGTTTAGGTCCTAACTTTTAATTTTCTTTTTCTGCTTACACTCCTAGCCTTTTGTTTGATTGCTGATTCCACTTGTTCTTTGAGGCTGCAGTCTTGTAACTTCAAAATTCCTTCGTTTTGCTGGGAATTTGTTGTCCTGTGAGGTGAAGGCCATAGGGTAACAGAAACTGTAAAACATATTTTTTCCATGTACAGGCAGCAGAACTTGAACATCTGGAGTCTGCAAATAAGTAGCATGTCTTGGTTATACTTATCAAAGCCGCTTCTTTGCCAGTGTTGCTGCTTGCCCTATTTTTTTTTCCTTTAGAATGTGTCTCTCAGTCCCTCCTAGGGTTTAATCTTTGGATATGACCGTCCAGTGGTTTTCTTGAGACTAGAGAAAATTTTTATTCTCACAAACTCCGTGGGGTGCACCTTTAAAATTTTTCTATGTGACTATATATTTTCAGAAGACTTCTAACCATGCATAGATCACCTTGAAGACTGAAAATTCGAGTGAACTTAACCTCATGTAAAAAAAAATAAAAATTAAAAAGTACCCAGAAAAATCCTATTTTTGCTCTTGAGTGCTTTTAGAAAATAGTTGTCATTTCTTTCAAGGGGTTAGAAAAAAATCTATATTTTTTTGATTTTTAGATTTCATCAGAGTGATTCCTCCATGTGATAACTTTTTAGAGAAGCAGGAACAGATTCAACCCTTATTCTAGGATTTGCCTCATATTTCATGAATATTAAAACATATATTGATTTTTCTGAAAGCAATTACCATAGAAAAAGCCAGAAGGATTGCTGTCTTGACTTTGCATCCTTTAAATCCTAATTACAAATTTGATGTGCCACTCCATTTGAATTTTACAAAAGATATTAACCACTTAGCTTGGAAATACATTTGTGTTTTCTAAAAATGCCATTCCCTTCGCAGAAAAAAAGCAATATTTTTCTTTTTGGTGGTTTAACTAATATTTTCCCATCTGTGCCTTGCTTCTGCTCTCTCTTTGTGGGAAAACTGAAGCCACAACCAGAATGCCTGGCAACAGAAGCAATGGGCTTGATATTTATATTAGAACTGTAACACATGGACATCTGTTCTCTCTACCCTTTAAAAGATATTGCTTCCAAGGACTAATATTTGGATTTTTCAGCTATGGGCGGCTGCTGATAGGTAAGGTTGGTGTGAGCCTGGAAAGAGACTCTGCTGTAGCCCACGGGGAAAGACAGAAGTGTCGTTTTCCAGCCTGGGGGCTGAGACAGTGCTGGGTTGGCCTCCTTGAAGTGCTGAGGCAGAGCTGAGTGACCCTGAGCCCTCTTTCAAGCTGAGAGATCACTTCTTTCTGCCTCTGTTTTCTTACACATAAAATAAGAATATTGAAACCAGCCTCATTTGATCAAATATTTTGAGCTCTACCGAAGGAAATGTGCTGGTCTCAGAGGTTTTCATCAGTAAGACATGGACCTATAAAAGAGAGAGCTCCAAAAAAATTTCAGTAGTGCAGAACAGTGACAGGGAGGATGCATTAAGCAAGAGATGAGTTTTCACCCTTAATATGTGTGTCTAATCAAGATAATTATTTTTCTCCTGATTTAGGGTGAGATTTTTGCGGCAGCCAGCTTTCTGTTCAAAAGCAGTTTTGAATGAACAGGTGGGCTGGCATGGTGCACTTTGCCTTTTCCTTTGGGAGCTTTATACCTGTTATCCCAAAATGTTTGTACTCTGTGTTAAAAGTCTCACAGCAACTCAGTCTTCCTGACGGTGAGTTCAGTTCCTAAGCACACAAATTCACACAGCAGTTGAATTACAGAGTGTTGAGGATGTTGCACTGTTTATTTTCTCCCTTCTGTAAGCGTGTTTAAGGATTGAACCCTGAATTGTGCCAGGATGAGATGGAAATACCTATTCCTGGCAACAACTGAAACTGTGTTGCCTGCCCTTAGAGCAAATGCAGCAGAGGTAAGCCTGTTCTCTTGCTAAAGAGGCATTGGATGGTTTACATACCTACTCCTGCATCATTACTAGGAGGTAACAGGCTTAATTACCCAGATGCAAACCAAAAACACCCTGTGCACAGACCCTTTCAGGAGGCACAGGAGCCAGGCTGCACCCGAAGAGGGCACTCCCTTTCTGCCCTGCCTCAGACTGAAGATTGATCTTGGCTTTGGGAAGTTTCTTTGTGGTATTTCTGCTTGGGTAAGAGCATTTTTAAGCGGTAGGCTGAGGGGTAAGCTGTAGCACGGGGAAGATGGGAAGAATGTGTCAGCCTGTTTTCTTCCCACAGTTTTTTTATTTAATTTTCAAACGCTATCTAAGACAACATTGAGGATTGCAATGCTCAAATATTTGTCTAGCAGGGGTTAGCTGCCTGTATTTCTTGTCTCCTAAATAGACCACTATACATTTCCACCATCTCTGCAGTACTTCCTGCTTAGAAATGAGAAGCTGACAGTCTTGAATGAGCTCTACGTTAATCACCAAGCACGGGGATGAAAGAAGGCAAAATTATTTCTGTGCAGTGAGAGGTGGGAAAGTTACGCTGTTCTTGTATTGAGAGGCTTGATTGCAGTGCTCAGGCAACAGTACAAACAACGGTAGGAAAGAAAAATGCTGCATGAAAAGTGAGACAGGGCATTTCACAAAGGCTATGATTCAATGATAACCTCGACCTGAGATGTTTGGGAACTGACTCATGGATCTATAACTCTTAAATCACTGAATGAATCAACACCAAATAAAAGAGTTAGAGGTGCAGACTTCTCTGTGAGATGTTTGTAAAATCCTTGGTGTGCTGCTTTTCACCTTGGAAAGTCTTTCTCTCCTCCCCTGTACACACCTATGCCAGCTGGTAATTGCCTGAGCTGGAGAGGTGCCATAGCCCAGCACCTTACGGTCCTTCATCTAGTTCAGAGGTTATTGATCCCTAACTGAGTGTCCTAGAAGTTAGAGCAGACAATGCCACAAAGCACTGGGGTAACAAAACTGTCCTTCCTTTGGTGAATAATGCTTGTGGTGTTTCAATTGCATTGTTTGGGTTAAAATCATCAACATGAAAACTGCAGTTTGTTTCAGCACCGACAAAACTAACTTACTTGTCCTAATTTATTGGGTTTTTTAAAGACAAAGGTACAATCCCTCTAATTGGGGGAAAATATTAAGTTAGCAACTAATCTGAGAAATCAATTATTTGCATACCCCTATTTCGTGTCATTGTTGCAGTTGGTGCCAACCTGTTTTTGTTCAATATCATTAGCACAGATTGTAACCTTGGCCATATTAGTTTGGAGTTTGATTGCTGATCTTTAAGCCTCTTTTGTGAATGGCAATATTCTGAGGAAAAAGCCTATGACAGAAGCTTGCAATACATATAATTGGTTGCAGACAGCTAAAAAAAATCTCTTCTTTGAATCAGGTAAAGCTTGTGGTAGTAAATAAATATGAAATGGTGAGTGGGAACTGTGGATTGGCTAGTTCAGCAGCTGAATAGTTTAAAGAAACAGTTGATTTAGAACTCTGTCCACAAGGCTTGGACTATCGAGGTAAATCTGAATCCTGCATTGATAGCCTTGGTGAAATTAGGTTTTTTGCCTTGTAGGATTACATATCTGATGAACAAAAGAAATTGAATTGGTATGGTTTGCTGGGATTTCTCCGAGACATCTGGCTATAAATGCCATATGACATCTGATTTTTGGCTTTGGACAAAAACTCCAAAACAAAAATGCCTTACCTAGATAACACAAGGTGTTATGAAAAAATGGATAAATTCAGAACTGGTCTGCTTGCTGGCATACCTCAACATACCTGTTGATGGGAGGTTGTTTGTGAGTTCCTGGCAATTGATTTTTCCTGATTCACCATTGCTGAATGTTTCTGCTATTTTGCCAATGATTTGAAATCTGAGGCAATGTATACCTTGCAAATCACTGACTAACAAACATTAAATATGAGGCTTCTGAGGCACTAGTCAAGACTGTCCACTTGTATGACTGTTTTGGTGATGTGCCTGTTGACTTAGCCAACAGTGAGGTCATATGTTTATGTGGGAACTGAGCACAAGGGTCTGCGTAACTTGGAAAGCAGTAGGCTAGAATACAATCGAGGTAGCTTGGGAAGTCCTGTCTTTAGCTGGAGCTCTCAGGTAATGCCTGGGGCAACTAGAGGCCAGCAGGATTTTGAAACAGAGGAAAAGTGAAACATCATGGGAGATGGTTCTGCCTTCACTTGAAGACTGCCCAGCTAGCTCTCCTGCCTGTGTTCCAGTTGTGCTGAACAGCACAACAGTGCTCTAGGTAATTTAGGGTGACATGAAAAGCTTTACAATGAGACTTGGCAAGTCCTTCAGTGCTGTCATTGGAAGAAGGTGAGAGGCCTGGTATGAGAATGCACCAAAATCCAGTGGCTGAAGGTCCATTTGCTTCATGGCTCCAAGTGAAACAGGTTTGATGTATTGCCCTTGGGCATGCCTTTACCTGTTGAATCACTTTGTTAATGTAAGGGTCAGGTCACCCAGGCTCAGGGTTTCAAGTGCTTGCCTTCAGGAGTTAATTCCCTTATGTAGACCTTCTCCTGAAACAGTATGCATTGGCTGGGGCTGGAGATGGGATGCTGTAGGGAAAAATGGTGGCTTCAAGTGGCAGAGCATCCCTTCCTTTCAGTTCTGCAGTTGTGTGTCTGCTTAGAGTCTGCATCAGACCAAAAGGCCAGGGCGATGGAGGGACTTCCTGCTCGGGTGCCCTGGCAATGATCTTTGGGGTTATTGATTCCTTCTGCAGAGTGGTATGTATGCTGTGTTGGGATCAGGTGGGTGTGTTTGGTCTACTCAGCTTTTTGTCATTGCTGGCCCTATGCCATATCCTGCCTTTGCCTCTGACCTCCAACAATTCAGTCTTAGGGACTGACAAGATTCTGGTTTCCTTTTCCCCTCTTCACACGGAAAAGTGTTCTGGAAAAGTGTGTTTGCTCACCGAACTGTCACTATTGTATGGGTGTTTGTTGGGGAAGGAGAGAGCAGATAATGGTTACATATTCCAGTTCTAGGCAACATTTTGGAATGTCTTGGCATTGGTCTTCCTGTACTGAGTTGATTTTTTTAAATAATGTGCCCGCTTTGTGGGAAGAATTCCTTATGTATCTTGCCTGTGAAATTCAAGAACTCTGCTCTCTTCATTTCCAAACTGCTGCAAATGCCTAAGCTGAAGGAAAATTTGTACATTTCTGCAAGTACCAGACTTTGTAGGCGGCCCAGAGATAAAAGCAAATGATGCATCATCATTCAAAAAGGTGTGATAAGTTTGGGGATTTTTCATTGCTGTCTTCCTTTCCCTCCAGTGATTAGAGACAAACATTTCATAGAATAGGCTGATGACTGGTGGTTGGACAGAGATCAAGCAAATCTAAGGCTGTTTCTTTTGAGAAGCAGATTTCTAGCCACTAGAACACCTATTTGAAGCTGCAGCTGCACACCTTTCTCTGTCTTTATTTCAGCTGGTGTAGTTAGGTTATTTTAGTGAATCACTTGCTAATTTTCTACAGTACAATTGCATGGTAGAAAATATTTTTAGAGAGACATGACCTCTCGGAAGCTCGTGAGTGTAGCTTACGACCAGTCTGTTCCTGTGACACATGAAATACATCCTAATCCGTTAAGGTCAGATGGACTGGACACTTGCTCACAAGGGCAAGGTCTGCAGCCAAAAGAATTTATACTGATTAAGTGCTTTTTTAGAACTCATTGCATGAATTTCTAACCTTCAAATAAGTCACCCCTTGGGAGATCACTGATGACACAGCCACTTGTCTCAAAATTCAGCGGCTTGATCTTTATTGAACTTGATGAGCAAACATTTAAATGATAATTGAGACACTAATTAAATGCGGTGCCTGTTCTCCCGGTTGAGAATTGAAAGGAAAGACTAAATTATTTAATGACAATTTGGGGTATTGCAGGTCCAGATCTTTAGCAGACGTGGAAGAAAGAAGGGTTTGTTCAGATGTTTGAACTTGTTGCTGCTGCTGCGAGCGCTCAGAACGTCGCAGTTGATCCCCTGACTTTACAAAGGCATAAAACAGGATCCCAGTCACCACAGCTTGCTGCTGAGTGCCAGGACATTATATTTACTCTGGTGAGCAAAATCGAAGTGGGGGACCTTGGCTTTGTTTTGCCCTTTCTTGTCGTTTTCATTGTGCAATCTTGACACTATTATCTGTCTGCATTTGGAAGTTCACGTACCTTTTTAAAACATGATCTGGTTCCTGACTGCAATCAGATTGTTTAATTTTGTATTTCAAATTATTCCATATTTCCTTAATATCAACTACTAATAAATTAGTTGCTTCTTCCTACGTTTCCCTGCCCTTTACTGCTGTTCATGTGCATCCCTACATTTCTGCTCTTTTTCCCTGTAAACATACTTATGGCGTCTGTTAAGGCGTGAGGTTATTAGGCCTAATCAAAATGTCTCAAGCTCTTTAGTAAGTCACATGTTACTGTATTCACAAATGACTTTAGGTGACAATTCCTCCCAGTGCAGTCGCGTATCACTGCTACTCTGTCCAGGAAGCAGAAGAGTGAAACACGTGCTTGGCACTTCCACAGGGATCTCTGAGGTAGGTAAAAATTTCATCATTGCCAGTGATTTGTGCCCTGTGCAGAACAGATTTGTTCAACAGGCCTGCACAATACTTATGAGCTTGGTACAGCGCCAGTTCTGCTTCCTCCTTTCCCATCCTTTCCGTACCGACAGTGTGCAGCAGATCAATTTCCTTCACTGGGGGGAGTCAGGAACTGCAATGGGAACAGATGCTAGGGAAGCAGATGGGGCAAGAGTTGATTTGGAGCAATGACAACTCCGTAACCTTTCAGCGTCAGCCCGAGATTGCAACTTTCCCTGTATTCCCCAGCAGAAGGCGAGTCCGGGCACAGGAGAAAGCACAGGCTTAGCACTGCACTCCAGCAGTGGAAGGTGGCAGCTGGGCTTATTGAGCACAGTGTGCTGGTCCTGGAAAGGCAGTTCCTGCTGGAGCAGGGCTTTTCTTGTGTTAGAAAGGAAGTACTCAGGCTTTTTTTGAAGAGTGCGGCCATGCAGGACCTACCAGCCCAGCAGCAATATGAACTCTTGTTTCATACGTGCTGAAACAGAGACTCCTTGTGAACTGATCAAAAGTTTCTTCTTTGGTAAGGAACATTGACTCCCACGCTGTTTTGTAAAACTGAGTAAGAAGTGTGTGTCCCTGGCCACCCAGGGCAGAGCAAGGGGTGACACAGAGATGCAGAGCCTCCCAGCCACGCAGCTGACACGCAGCTCCCCATGTGGAGCACAGCTGGGCTCTCCTCCATTTCCACAGGGGGAATGTCAGGGGGTTTGTTCCTCTTTGTCTTTTGTTAAGGGGCAAGGGGATATTTGATGTTTGTGTTTGCACATTTTGGAGGAAAAAAAAAACCCAAACAACAACAGTAAGGTTCTCCACCATGATTTATTTGGATGTTTCATAGTATAGTGGAGAACTTCAAAATTCTAAGGACCAAAGTCTTCAGTGGCAGAATTAAATTTGCTGTTTCATCTAGGTAAAATCCCATTTAAATGTTCTCAATTGAAAATCAGGATTTAAAACATTTAATGAAGCTGCAGGGAGTTCCTTCGTTCAAAGTATGTATCCCAGATACCCCAGGTGGTTTCTTCAGGATGTGTTACAAAATATTAGTTATGGCAAACTATGGAGTTAAGGCCAAACAGGTGCTTTTTGGGTCACAGATTCATTCTTTCTGGTGATTGATAAACAAGAAGATTGTTAAGATTAAGAAGTACTCTGCCTTTTATTTAAAAATGTACTTCAGATCTGGCCAAGTGACTGTCAAAATAATTTATGTCTTTTCAACCTGAGCTTTACCTTGAAATATGTTTTAGTTAATGAAATTTCATCTTCTGAAGTTGAATGACTGTAAACACAGAATCTGACTCAAAAGCTGCCTTCCTATGCATAATTTACTTATCAGGGAGACAATGATAACATATTAGCACACACCCAAAAATTCTTGGTCCCATTATGATGAGAGGCCTTAAAGCAATACCATGGATGTGATGGGACTGGAAATAACATGGATGTAATTGTATATTTAGTGCATTTGTTCACAGAGCTCCCAAAAATTTTATTAAGTGACTGTCACTTTAGAAGCAACAGAAGAGCAAAAATAAATGACTTTGTACAGCACATCTTGGTTTGCTGTATTGCTCTTCAATGTAAAATTTTACCTTGTGTCTCAGGACCACATGAATCACAGCGAGGGGAAGCTGACAGCTTCCTAATGCTCTTTTTGCATGAGCCTGTCTATCCCTTTTCCCTCCATTCATCCAAACCCCAAAATTAAACTAAACAGGAATCCAATGAGGTACTTGGCTGAAATGCTTTTCTGTATGTGTATACAGACCTAAATCAGAGACTTTTTATAAGGTACTGTGCTTTGGGTGACTTGGAATAAAAATACTGTTCAGCTGATGGTTCGTGCTGGTAGTTCCTGTCACCTGTGTCATCCGTCAGGTTTCTCGTGGCGCTAAGTGGAAGGTGAATGCCAAGTGGGCCTGTGTGTGTTACCAGCTGTCAGACTGAACTTGAGAAGCACGATTAAGGTATCTCCCTGCAGGAAGCTGTTCTGTCAGCTGGATCACAGTGTGGAGATGCTGTGATTTTCTGTGATAGACAAAGACCAGGCTCCTCTGAGGAGATATGGTCAGAGCAGAGCTTTGCAGTCCGCTGCAATGTCGAGGTTCCTAATGTGACACTTGTCACCAGCCAACTGCACCTTCTCCAAGATGGGAGAGCAGTTCTGAGAGTTAATACAATATTAGCACAATATTACAATATATGTCACTGTCACACGTCGGGTACTGTAGATTTACAGCTTAAGAAAAGATCAGTATCTATTGCTTGAGAAGGCTGATATCAGCTGATAAAGCTGGTCTGTGTCATTACGAGAAGTCTGGTCTCATCCAAAAACATTGTGGAGGAGCAGGGATGGGTCAGCACTTGGCAGTTTGGAGAAGAGTGTCACAACCTATGAATATGTTTTCTTACATCATTAGTGCAAAGAGACAAAGATGAAAACCAGCTGATAGGATACAGGCAATGATTACAGAGGAAATACTGGATGTCAGAAGAGGGGAGGGAAGCAATGACAAGGTCCAGAACACCTTTGGGTGCTGCAACCACCTGAAACCTCCTGAAATCGCTCGCCACTGCTCAAACCACTTTTAATAAACAGGTAACTAAAATTCAAGCACTTCCTTTGTAAAGCCTTTTGGTTTCAGAAGAGTGAATCACTGTCTGACAGTTCGGTGGGAGGTTATTCATCCAGGATTGCTTCACTCTTTTGTGGAGGTGCTTGGTGAGCTGCTCTGCACGCTGGCAGGCTGCTCCAGCCAGGCATTTACTCCTACAAGTGCCACCTGCTCTGTTATAATCCTTGCCTCGCTGAAGTCGCCAGCATCTTTCTGCTTGATCTGCAGGGAAGCTCCCTCGTGTTGAACTTGGCTGCTCTTTTACGAGAGTAAGGGTTTGAGGAGCTGTTTGGCTCAGTAGCACTTGGCAACCTCAGGAAGCGCAGGCGTTCAGCTGGGCAGTGGACGCACGTTCGTTCGAGGGGGGCTGCTGTGTGCCCCACCCTGCAGTGTCAGCTCACAGCGTGCCTGTGCCTCGGAGGCACTCGCTGTGCAGCCGACACAGCCCTCAGGCATCAGGCAGCTGGGGAAAGTGCCACAGAAGCTTTAGCAAGAGAACACATAATAGCCAAAGTCGAAGGGCGAATTGAGATATAGTGGGGGAGGCAGCTATTATGTTCCAGCTCTCTTTAAAAACAGTTCTGAGACGTGTAAGGTATTGTGTTGTGTTTGTTGCTGGATTTAAGACCGCTGGCTGCCAGGCAGTGAAGGTCACTCCGTATTTCCTTCTTTAAGGCAAGTTGCTGCTGTTTATATTAACAAGAGAGCAGCAGTGCTGGCTAAATCCTGGCATGTTAACCTGCATCTCTCCTGGGGAGCAGGTCTCCGACGCGCTCCCTCAGGACCTGTATAGTTGGAGAGTTGTATATCTTGTAGGTGTCAAGCCCAATCAGAGCTTCCTTGCCAGGATGTGTTAAGGCAGCTGTCTGCAATTTGTGTTACAGTGTGCATCTCTGCCAGTAAACTACTTTTGCTCTCCCTTGTGCTGTGTCTGCCGTCTGCAGGGCTGCTGGGAGAGCTGCCAGAGGGAGAGAGAGCAACTGCATGCACAAAGGTGGCTGGGTGGCACCTCTTGTAATCTGTGTTCTGCACAATGTATTGATTGACTTTGTGGATGGATCCCAGGGGCTGAACACAAACAGCATGTACCAGAGCATGACATTTTAATCAGAGACAGGTTTAACTACTGGGAGCAGCTCGGGTAATGTCTACTTTAAAAAAAAAAAAAAAAAAATTAAAGAAAATTGCACAAAAGAACAAAAAAAGGGTGTATACTTGTGATCGCTTAGGAACTCTGTGTAGTTGTGCAGTTAAACACGAGATACAAATGAGTAGGTTGTGACAGGACCAAGAGCACTTTGAAGTAAAGCTGTAGTAAGTGCAAATTGGTGACACAAGTTAAGACACTGAAATAAGCTTTTTGCAAGTGTGTGTGTGTGTGCAGACACCAGGGCTAAGCAGTGGATCCTGGTCAACGCAGCACCATTCCTGCCAGCCAGCTGTAAAATCCCTTGGCTCAGGGGATAGAAAGGTGTTCATGCCGCAGGTCAGGCTGGCAGGGAACTAGAGAGATTTAAAAGGAGGTGGCTGGAGTTTTTTCTGTATTTGCAATGATTGGGAGTTGTGAGAAAGGCGGAGCTCTTTTAGGGTTGGGTCAGCTCGCCCCACCAACACCTTGAGTAAGGGCTGAAAAATGACCACCTCAGAAACACCAGGGAATGTTATCCTCCTCCTTAGCCTGTAACACACTGTGTAGCAGAGTTTAACCTTCTGTAGTCAAATCTCAGGGTCCCTGAAGAGCTCTGCTAACCTTGAAAATCTGTGTAGTAGGTTACTTTCTACCTGCAAAGTAGAAAGCACCGCTTATTCACAGGCATGAAAGACACTGAGTCTGGTCCAGAGGCAGACTTGAAAGGACATACATCTGCTGTTTGTGGGAATTTAACTGAGCGGAAACTTCTGAAATAACCAAAAACAGAGAGAATAGCAGAATTATTCCCAAAGCGCTGCCTGCCTTCTAATTGCTGGCCATCTCCTTTTGTGAAAAGAAGTAAGAGAAAGAGTTCACACAAGCAGGAGTGCTTGCATATTTCTCTTTTGGGGAAAGCAGTTGTCTTTCTTCTCTTGTTTTTGGACACTTAAAATGTGAAAGCAACATATCAGACTGGAGAGAGAGAAGAACCAGGCAATGTTACCTTGGTATCCGATGATCAAAGGTATGACCCTCCTCTGCTGTGCCCTGAGAAGGCAGCAACTGTTTCCTGAGGGAACAGCGCTTACTTTAAAGCAGGAAATGTCCCTTCCCTCCCTGTGTGGCCACACGGATCAGGAGCTGCCTGCCTGCCTTGAGAGAGCAGAGCATTTAGCTTTTCCCAATAGGAAAAGGGCAGCTTAACCAGTTATCCTCTGCCAATATAAAACAAACAGGGAAATGAGTCTCAGAGAATGATTATTGCCTGGGTAGTGGCATGGCTGACACATATTTCCTTGCGAAGAACCAGTGGGCTACAGCTATTCAGTAGCAGGAATTTATAAAATTCATGGCCAGCTTTACCACTTAGTTTCCTTTCATCATTTTAAAAGTCTGTGATTTTGCTCTGACTACTATAGTTTAAATGCAGAACAAGCCTGTTCGTTCTTTTCATTCAACTACCATTTTACTGTGTGCATTTCAACACTCAAAATGTACAGGCTACTGGCTGGCATTTCCATCATGTTGTAGTGCCTGGATTCCTCTCCTGTTTCTAATGAGGCACAAAGTATAGAGAACATAAGTGACAGGAAAAAGCTACAGTTTTTTTAATGACCAAAATCATATATATTTTAAAGCTCTAGCCTAAGGTTACAGCACAGCTAAGCAGGCAATGTCTTTTTCATCTGCAGTTTACCTGAAAATTAGGACTGAATTTCAGTTTCCCCAGGTGACAGAAAACAGCAGAGAATCCCCAGTACAAAAGCAAAGACCCAGTCATGCACCATCCAGCACTGTGGAGTTGATGTGAGGTATCTTCCAAGAGTACGGTGATACCTTTCTTTGTAGGGGTAAAGCAGACAAGGGAAGGGCTATCAGGGAGCCAAATGAGACAAAAGGAAATGAAGGAAGAATTAAACTGAGTCAATACTGTGAAGATATTAGGTGAGGGCATTACGATATCTGATGTGAGAGATCTTAATTGGGACACACATAACGTTTGCCCCAACCTCACCAGGTAAAGGGTTGCACTGACTTTGCTGTCAGAAATGCTGAACAGCATTGGCTCATCTAAGTTCTTAATATACATCACACATTTTGTATGAATTTTTGCACAGAACTCTAGGGCAATTTTCTGAGATGAGAATTATTTTTTGTCACCTGCAAATTGCACTTTTGTGAGGAGCTATACCGAGGAAAAAGTAGGTGAGATGTTGTTGGGGCGAGCTGGAGCACCAAGGCTGCACAGCTGACAAATGAGATTTCTGACAAGGAGAGGTGTAGAGAAAAAAAAAAAAAAAGAGCCAAGTTCAACTCCTGGTAATTCTAACAGATTGGTGAAATTGCAGGCTGTCATTGGGAAAATCCTGTTTCTCAGACAAAAATGGACAAGGGACACTGACATGAAAATGCCAGTGCAAGTCAGCCTCTGAATTATGTTGTTAGGTTTAAGTAGTCTTTATTTGAATCTCAGCAAAGCATTAAGACGGTGTTTTTAGCAAGCTCATGGTTACTGCTTGCATTACGGTAACATTGCAGGTGTGTTCAAGACCCATTACACCAACTGCAGTTTGCACAAGCAGTTTACATTGAAGGTGTTGTGTAAGTGTGCATTTATATGGGTGAAGGCCCCTGAGAACCATAAAATCACTTTGGAGAGAGGAATGACAAGAAAGGGAATCAAAAGAACTGGTTCATATTCCATCTGCAGAGTTGCACTTCAGGGAAAAAATAAAATATCCAAAACTGAAAAAGAAACGCTGCATAAAGCTCCAGGTTTCTCATCCCTTAACCCTGTGTCTTGCCTATTTTACAAGAAAGTATTATTGGAAACCTTCAGTGGCAAAGGTTCCGTGCAGTATCAGGATTTTTTTTTTTTTTTACTCTTTCTGGTGCATGGCAGAGTTGCTGTGTGATGATGGAGCAGAAGCAGCCCAAAGGCTTTTTGTATTTTCTGGACACATGGTGTCGGCACATGAATTTGTTCCTTGGGCTTGAACTTCCATTAAGTCAATGCATGCTGGACTACTAAAAATGTAAGAAAATTGAATTCGGGGAAGGTGAAACCGATAAGAGATTTGCTGCCACTGGGAGTGTGAATCAGACCTTTTCTGCAGTGAAGTTGCAAACGTTGCCTGAATGTTGAGTGCACCGAGAGCTGATCACAGAGACGGTGAACTTCTCTGCTTGATTGCAGCTCTGATCTGATAGTGGGGAGTACCTGTTTGTTTTTGTACTTAAGCAATTGTCTGTAAATTAGCAACACAATGAAGTATCCATGATGCTTTCGACAACTTTGAGGCAGGACAGCACGATGAACATTGCAGCTATAGATGTATGCCCTGATACTAAGCAGTGCTTTTTGAGATAGCGCAGTGGATTTAGTTTGTATTTAAGTAAAGCCTTGGACTATCATTTCTGAGATATTTTCATGTCTACCTTTGATCTAAAATGTGTTAATCTAATGAGTGGGTAGAGAAAATGAGTTACTATGGGAACGATGTCTTTCTCTAACTTACTGCCCCAGCTGGCTGCTCTGGCAATCGAAGCACGCTGTGAAACGGAGCAAGGCCACCAGAGACAAACGTGCATTTCAGTCTGAGAGGGAGCTTTCAAGGTTGGGTTTGGGGTATGGAGGATAACAGCAGGCCTCTGGGAGTTGCATTGTGTACATAAAGCAAAATGAGAGGAAGAGGAGTGAGCTGGCACCTGACTGTGATAAGGAAAAAAACCCAAAGAAGTGGGAGTCACCTAGTGGGAAGGAGACAAAGGCTCTGCTGCTGCATTTCTTGGGGTGTTACTGATAAATGATTAAGGACAGCTGTTAAAGCTTGAAGCTTCTAAATCTGTTCTGGTGGTCATTAATGCAGTATTTCGTCATTAAGCAGATCCATGATCTGCAGTTGCCTCCTGTTTTCTGCTGCAGAATCACAGAAGAAACCATAAATATGAAAAGCATGGGTGTGTCTTCCTCTGACCTGCAGAGCAGTGTTTCCTGCAGTGGTGGCTCTCTGCCTGTGTGCTGTTGGGTAGGAAGCAGCATCCCGTATTGGTATTGTTTCCTCTGTTTACACCTCTCTGAAATCTAGTGCACAGTATAGTGCATGTGGAGAGGAAAAAGATGAGTTTCTTATTATTGCTCATGTAATTAAGGGGAGAACTTTTCTTTGAGTGGAAATGGTTTCATCTTCTCTTATTTGATTCCTGTCTTTGGTCTAGTGCCTTAACAAGGCCAAGGAAAAAAAGAGGTGAGCATCCTGCCTCAGCTCACTGCAACATGTGAGCATTGGGTGGGTTCTTACCCCAACTTCAACACTTACAGGTGAGCAGGAAATATTTTCTCTGGGCAATTTTTTTGTTTGATACCTTCATTCCTTGCTATCCAATATGTGTCATCTGTTTTGCCTACTTTCTCAGAAAAAGACACGTGCAACTTCTGTGGTTAAATAGAATCAGGATTCAAGTATTTCGATTTACTTTTTTAAAATAAAAAGTAAATGAGAAACAATCAGTGAAAAACATGTTCGGGATCAATACCGACAGTGTAAATCATGACACCAAACATTCAAATACTTTCGAAGGCCTGCAACTTTCTGAATTTCTAGCTGGGTTTTGATAACCACTCTCCTATTCCAATGTCTTCTCTAGAGCCACAAATTTTTGTACCTTTTTAGTTTTTTTCAAGCTGACTCCTGCCCTCAAGGTCTCTTAATGTTCCCTTTCTTACTTTCTAATCTGGCTGAGGGTCAGCCTAAGGAAGCTTCATCATTGCTAATTTCCTTCCCGCACTCTGAGGTGAGACTTCTCAGCTGCAGGTCTTACACTGATGCAAATTACATCAAGGTTGCTCTCCTGGCCGCTGTCCAGCGGCATCCCTGTGGAAATCCCTTGCCCTCAGACTGATACCTGCCCTATTTTTGTCACTGAAGGCCTCGCTGCTCCACCTGTGGCAGTGGTGCTCAGGTTTATCCGATTTGTGTCCCTGCAGCTAGAACTTTGTCTCTCTGAGTGGTGTTTCTGAAGTTCAGTGTTCTGATTTTTATATGACTTGTTTATTTGCTAAGTTTGTATGATT